CTCTTTCCCACACACATTCTCTTGGAATTTTTATTTTACCTGTTTGAAAATTGTGCCCCACACCTCTTGTCAAGGGCCACCACAGCTGAAATCTGAAGTATTTGAAGAAGCAGCAGCTACTTGTCTCAGAGAAGGGGAAGGGGAGGGGGAGAGAGGCAAGTAAAATAAAACCTTTTCATGCTCTTCTACTCACTGGCAAGCAGGCAATTTTATGGAAATGGAGTGTGTTGGCTGAGAAGACCTTCCCACCAAACTGCTGCTGCTTCAAAAGACTTCAAATAGCAACTGTGACAGCTTAGTCTGAAGTTGTCTTTGTCTGTTTCTCCAGACTTAGGAGGTTTTATTTCAGCCAGTTTCAAGTGGTGTCTGTTAATTAACAGCTCTCGTTTCAACACAGCAAATGTAGCACGGCTTCCATTAAAAAAAAAAAATCATAAACCCTCTTTTTATGTCCTACTCAGTCCAATTTGCACGTCTCTCCAGACACATTAACACCTGCTAAGAGAATGAGGAACTATCTTTAGGTTCCATTAGTTTGGATTTGAGGATCCTCCACAGATTTTTTCATACAAATTCACAGAACAAGTAAAGACCATAAGCTCTGTTACTGCAATCACTATTTTACCAGCACTCGTGGCTTGCTTCCATGATGTATAAAGTCTCAAGGACAAGAGCCTAAGCTATTAAGATGATTCATTTATTTCACTAGACAATAAAATATTAAAGCTAGATTATTTCAGTTGGAAGTGGTAACACTCCCTACAAGGTCCAGTCTTCACTTCCTTACAAATAGGACTGACTTTTAGCATTCCCATACATCTGCCTTAATATTTTTTGAGAGTTTGAGCAAAATTGCCCTAGTTCTTTCCAAAAGGAAATAAGGGGAAAATAATCCATTGTGTCTTAAAGTGATCACAATTTTTTCAATGCCTTTGCAGGAACACTCTACATGCCTCCTCCTCGGTCTGAGCAAGAATGCCACAAAACAAGTCAATTGATAAATCTAATCCACAATTTAATACACTCCAGCATTCAGTCTCAGTCTGAAAGAATGGACGGACTCTAGGCCTTGTCCGAGACAATGCTTCAAAGATCTGTTTAACTCACACTTGACCAACTACCATCAGTCCTCAGGGGATGAATATAGGACTTCTCCAGCTACTGTGGACAAAGTGGCAAGTTGGGTTCTCAGTCTTCTTCTGTACTTACTGAGAGGAAATAAATCCAAAATCATCATAAGAAAGATTATAGGACATGCAGAAGTGGGGGGGGGGGGGGGGGGCGGGGAACAGAAGAAGCCAGAGTCATGTGGGAGTTCTAGTGTGAATGCAGATGTCATTACACATAATGGAGTTAAAGACAGAACCTTAACTGTAGTATTTTCTCAATGTGGTGTGCCGTTTTTATAGCTTTTATCTATCAAGGTAGAGAACTTGTACTCAAAACTTCACGTGAAGCTTTGTATTTCAGATTCATTGCAGAGATTAGACAAGGCTTAATCAATTTGAAAGGCAGGCTCCCCAATGACTTCCATGCTACCAAATTAGACTCTTACAATATTAAATCTCTAGAAGCAATGATATTTTCCTATTTATTGCAAATTAGAAAAAAGACAAATCATCAAACACAACGTGATGTTCCTTCAGCTCAAAGGAAAGCATAAACTTGGCATGGAAAAAAAAATAATACAAAATGATTTATATTATGCTTAATCTTTTATTTTTACAGTATTTAAAATTCCCATGTTCTTCACCATTATTTTTATTATTCTGATTGTTTACTACCTTGTTATTGTTTTCTTTAAGTTGTAACAAAACTTGGGTTTGCATGGTCATTGGTCCAGACTTCCAGTGATATGCACTTGATTTCCTGTGGGCCAAAAGCAAGGAAGAACTTAAAAATGATATCTGGAAGCAAGAGAAGCATCAAGGTTTCCCTTCAGGTTTTTAAATATGAACAGAGCATCACAAAAATAAAATAATTGCTTCTAGGATGATCAATTCCCCAAAACACAAACACCCCTCTTCTACAGAAATTGGCTTCATGTCTACTTTAATGGTAGAAAAACATCAAGTGTACAAGAAAGTACTTAGTTTTAGACCATCAAATCAGTTGTTTTTAAATGCAAAAAAACCCAAAACCTCAGCAATTCCTAAAATTGGTTTTAGAATAATAAAAATGTAAACAAAGTACATTTAAAGATAAATCTTCTCTGTCCCAATTTACTGTAGGGCATTCACCCAGAACAACTAAAATGCTGCATCTTTTAGTAAGTCAGGAACACATACCTACAATTAAGATTTCAGTGAACAACAGTTTAGGTATTGACTACTATGAAGAACACAGAAGATAGTGGGGAAGAAATTAAGACTAAGGGAGATTAAAGAGCAATTTTCAGCTTCAGCACACTGCAGAATACACTACTGCACGGTATGTGTCAAGTGTTCAAATAGCTGATCTACTTGATTTTACAAAAAAACAAATAGAACAAAACACAACAAAGCACACAAAACAAGAGGTTAGAAAAACATATATGTGGGAAGAGGGATGACCTGTTCACCAGTGGTGCACATGCCAATGATACCTGTCACTTGAACTCAACAACACCACCAGGATTTGCAGGTACAAGACCATGAGAACAGTAATCAAACAATTGCATGAGAACAAAATGATGAAAAAAATGTCAGGCACTATCTGGAAAACATTGCATAAACAGCTCAAGCAAAAGTTTACAGAGCTGCAAACAGCAGCCCCTTAGCATTATCAAGACTAAGGCACTAAATTAATCCAAGGCATTTGTAATTCCAGTGATATAAGATGTCAGGCAGAAGTACAAAGAAATGGAAGCAGATGTTGCAGAGATTTGCTGACATTCAGAATGAGCCAGTAACAGAGCTGAGACTGAAACTGCCACCCTAGCACTTATTTCATTACATTACACTTACTTTCTGAGCCATGTTTTTCATCATACAGAAAATGTTTTTCTGAGAAGCTACAAGATGCAAAACAGGATAAAAGCGATATCAAGAACAGCATCCACTTTAGAAAATTCAGAAATAAGACAATTATTGAAAGAGAAACTACTTTCTGTCTCCTGCTTTAAAAGTAATGTGACACATTCCATCAGACAGGGGAAAAGGGATCTCTGCCACTGAAGGAATATCCCTTCCAGGAAGGATTTGTTAGTTTACTTCTGCAAAAAACAAATTTAAAATTGAATTTTCACATGGGAGTTTAAAATAAGAAAGTGGTAGGTAGCAAGTTTATCCTTGGTAATAAAAGATTGGAGAGGGGAAACTAAACATTATTGTGAATTCCACACTTTGCAAAAGATCTCATCTGGGGAAGAGACAGATGTGGAGGGAAAATCCCATTGGACTCCTCTTCTGAAAGGGAAATTTAACCTACTTTCTCTGCTCTTTTTCTCTGCTCATGTTTAACTGTAGTTGCCGTAATTTCTTCTCCATCTCTTTGGTTTCTCTTTCTAACTGTGCTTTTTCCAATTGCAGTTCTCTGACAGTCCTGGAAAAAATTCAAGTAGTACAATATTCATTAGGAATGACATGAAAGACAGTAAGTTACCTAAAGAAGTTAAAAGCAGCAAGACAAAAAAAAGTTGAAAAATGTGTCATTAAAGGCATGTAACCCTTCTCCCTCCCAGCAGGACTGAAGAGAGTTCTGGAGAACCTAGGGCAGGTCAGGTGCAAACTGCTTGGACCCAAGAATATCTCATTACAGAGAGGCAGGCTGACAGTGACATGGCTACTGCAACATAAGCTTTAGAGTGGCCAACATCAAGCTGATACAATTTTGTCTTTATTTCGAAATGTTTGTTGCTTGATTATATTAAACTATCCACATGAATCCTTTAGTACTGTTTCACAAGGAATCTATGTTAGATATACAGAGTTATAAGACCTAAAACCTACTCAGAAAATAAGCCTAAGAAAAGTAAGGCTTAAAAACAAAAGCATAGGGAAAATACTAGAAAATAAACATCATGATTCTTCCTGTTCTTACACAAATAAGCTCTTCTACATAATGTTGCATTTAAATCTATTAAAAATGGTAAAAAAAACCATCTCCATCACAATCAGATAAAATGCACTCACTTTACTTTAAATCTTGTTGAGGTTCCATTTTTTGAGCCTGGAAGTGTTACAAAATCATTGATGTTCATGATTCCTAGTATAATCTGTTCCAAAAAAGAGAATTTCAATGATCTACAGTTTGCAACCTGTTGAAATAGGAATTAGACTGAAATTAAAACAGTAAAAACTGGTTACAAATCCAAAATTATTAGTGCATAGAAAGAGAAATTAAGCGCAGAACTTGTTTGTATGAAATGCCAATAAAATCCTAGAGCAACTCCTAATTAAATTTAACTGGAAAAAAAAAAACCAAAACCAAAAACCTTTTTATTACATTTATGTTACCAGGAAAAATATTTATTTGTCTCTTTCCTTTGGGCAATTCCCTGAAGTTCAATGAAAGCAGTTTAATATTAAATTAAACAGCTTTCTTGAACAAGACCCATAGGAAGCAGAGAGAAGGAGACAATTGTTATCAATGGCTGTGAAGTCAAAGCATCTCAAATGATTTGGAAATATTAATTTCTTCTGTCATATACAAATAGATACAAAAGAATAAAATACTTTTCCAACAAGGAAGTTCTTACAGCAGAGAGTCCAAACTGAAGCTCAAGATCCATAACTAGTACAGACCAAGCAGGCTGCAGGAAGAAATGTGCCAGCACTTGATTTCAAGAACAGTGTCAAAGCAGAATATTTACTTGGGCTGTTGGGATGCATATGGAATAGAAATAAAACTTGATAGTCTGGGGTCTTGCTGACAGGACATTTGGAAACAGTCCTTCAGCTGCTGGCTATCAGATTCTGGCTGAAAGCAGGACCCAACTGAAATGATGTGGAGAAGCTTAATGTTTGAAATACGTCAAATGAGCTCAAGATCAAGAGCTCAGCTGCCAGTTTGCTCATCAACCTGAAAATGACCATTAAAACACTTAAAATGTGTCCAAATAATACCTCCACCCATGAAGCAAAGTGCAAAATATCTGGTGCCACAGAACCTAAAAGTAAAAACACTTCAGTGCTGACAGAAACATCAAATGTGCGTACAAAACCTGTTTCTTACAACAAGAAAAAAACAAAACAAACACTCCATTCTTGTTTATTATTTCAAAACAATTATTCTTTGATCACATTTTAAAACAAGATTCTAAGTCAATAAAGTTCTTGTATTGGTGGATGTGTGCTAGCAGGACTAGCCAGGCAGAGATCACACTGGTTTTGATGTAGCCCAAAGACCACCCGATAGTAACAGTGGAGGTAAATGACTGAAGCCAGCTGACTGAGTTCAGGAAGGGAAAGCAGTGTACTCATATATATGATTTTTTTTTTTTTTAATAGAGCTTAACATATTCCACTGGATAGTGTGATAGTATCAGAGATAAAGCTATCTACAGAGTTTTGGGAATAAAGTAATACTGGGTGGAAAAAAAACAAACCATCAAGTTCAGATACAGACAGACTAATGTGATCAAAAGCCTGAATTGTTCTGAGAAAATACACTAATTCATTTAATTAGAGCATAATTCTATTTTTCATGACAACTGTTAAACATCGAGACTGTAACATTCAAAGTTAAACATATCCCGTTTGGGGAATATATAAAACATTAGTTCGGAAAGTTTGTAAAACATCCTTCAGTAGCCAAGCTCCTGAGAAACTAACTCCGTACTTGGAAACAAACTTGCCATTTAAATACAAACAAAGAGTTCCCTTTTCCTGTGTGCTTTGTTTACTTAGGAATCCCTTTCTCTTTCAAATACTTAAGACAATTTTCCAGTGAAACAAACACTAAACCCATCAACATAACCAAATCAGGCATTAGTTATCCACATCCTTTCTGCCAGCCCTTCTGCACACACGAGTACTCAAATTGCAGCATTCCAGCAGGTTCCTCCGTGCTGGTAATGGTTGTACAGTGGAACTGAACAGAACAAAACCCGGTGGTTTTGCTATATGAAATTTAAGCCAATTGAAAGTCTGAACACAAAGCCCATATACCCTGTATCTCAGCTGAGCCCAAATATCTTCCTCATTAATTTAAAGACAGCTTTATAATTTAAAGACAGCTTTATAATTTAAAGACAATTGAAGATGGCTGCAGTTTATTTTGAACTACAGGAGTTTAAGTAGAGCAAACTAAATTCCAGCAGCTTTCTCACATCAGTAAACCCATAAAATCCAAAGGGCTTCTACCGTATATGCAACAGCTCACATCCAATTATCACAACCATGAACATGGATTTCATGCTTGACTTCTCCCCACTTACCAATAATTTAAACCAAACTATTTCCTTTTAAGACTCTTAGTCCACCTAAGACTTTGTCCAGAGTTGCTCTCCACCTGTTTGCTGTTAATTGTATCAACTGGGCTTCTGGTCCTTCCAAACAACGCCCTTTAACGTTTCACTAACTGGGGAGGGAGTGGGAGGTGGGGGTGTAAAAGAAAAAAGTTACATTTAAAAAACAACAAAACAACTTCGACTGCCGTGTAAATCTGCTGCTAACAGCCAGTCTAAATGCAGCAATCAGGTATGTTAATGTAATCTTAGTCCCTCGGGACAAACTCACATCCTCCATACATCAACCATTTCAAACATCGCTATTTTGAAACAAATCACCGGTTTCTATGTTTACAACATGCATAAAGTAAGATCCTAAATACCTACTTGAGAGGTCCCTTCCAACCTCTATGATTCAGTGATACTTTTCCTAAATTATTTTCCCATACTTCTCAACTTTGTCACACATTTGCAAGATGTATTGTCTCAATGACTCCGACACCTGTTTCTACCAGTTGTGCATCTTCACTGTTTAGCCAAAACCTGTAACTTCTGCTACATTTTAAGTAACTTTAAACCTGAAAACCACTAGCGGAACGGGTCTGTCTCTCGAAACAGTCTACAAAAAAGTCACATTACCAAGTGTGTTTTATGAGATAAATGCCTTATCACCCACATTATGCAGATACAGCGGCTGCCCTGTGCACTCCTGCAGAAGCATCGCCCACAAGTCAGCAGAGCAAACGAAGAAGCAGGTGGGGATAAAAACAGGTGAACAAACGGAGCAACGTCAGTACTTGCCTTCGGTGCTTCTATCAAGCTCTAGCTTGCTAAGCAAGGCTCACGGATTTCACTTAGTCCAGGCGACAGCTCTAGGAAAACACAGAACAATGCCCAAGAGAGCAGACAAAACAAACAAAAAGGTATTAAAAAAGCCCGCTGTCAAGTCAATGGGTTGTTTGTTTGCTTTTCGTGTCGTTACCGACGGCTGTTTTTTCAAGAAAAGGTGGGAAGGACAAAGGAGAGAAGCCCCTCGGCCTGTCACCTCACCCCAGAGAGCCCAGGGCGGGCAGCAGGGAGGGCAGCGCAGGGCACAGACACAAACCCCAGCTGCCCGGGCCTTCCCAGGCACCATCCGGGGGTCAGGCAGGTGCACCCGCCCCAAGGGCTCCCTGAGCCCTTCGGCACCGGCTTCGCGGCAGCTCCCGTGGCAGGGACGTTACCGCTCGGGCCGGAG